TTTTTTTTTTTGGTCCCAGGGATTGAACTGAGGTCCTTGCGCTTGCACAGCAGGTGGCGAAACCACTGAGCTAAATCCCCGGGCCCCTACATTTCTTTTTTAATGAACTAAAAAACTGACTAAATTCAGACATCACACACGGCAAGAACAGTCATACTTGAGAGACAAGAAACAAATGACTTCTCCCCTGAGTGCTTGGAGAAGGTCTCCATGCCATAGCAAAGAGAAGGGGAAATAAGTGGATCCAAGTGGCCTCCCTGAGTTCTAAAGATGAAGTTGAGAGTCTGGAAAGCCAAATGTGTGGCTAGCTGTGGTTCTTTGTCAGAGTGGGAAAATCTCATCCTATCCAAGGCATCAGGTAGAATACTTAGAAGGGTTTTTGTCTCCCAGTGGAGAAAAATTAGCTTTAGATTATAGGCTGCTCCCTAACTCTACCCAAAGAAACCTCAAAGCAAGACTCATAATAAATTGTACATATTCCATGTATCTTAACTCTATGCCAGAACAAAACTCAGTAGTATTTTTTTTGAGACAGGGTCTTGCTAAGCAGTCCAGGCTGGCCTTGAACTTGTGATCCTCCTGCCTCAGCCTCCTGAGTGCTGGGATTACAGGCATGTGCCACAATGCCCAGCCTCAGTAGTATTTTTTAAACACATGAGACCAGCACTCATCAAGTAAAACCAAAATAGCTAGCAGCCAATAAAAAGTTACCTAGCTAAACTGGGCACTGTTGTGTACACCTGTAATCCCAGCTACTTGGTAAACTGAGGCAGGAGGAGCCTGAGTTTAAAGCCAGCCTGAGCAGTATAGCAAAATGATGTCTCAAAAATGATGCAGGAGGCATTGGTTTTGTGAAGGTGCTATTGGGGTAGCTGCTACATATAGTTATAACTGCTGTTTTATAGAAGTAGCTGTTTGATCTTTATCTGTAGGTATTTTTCATTGTGATTGAAATTACTTGCGGGAATTAAATGACTAGAATTAGGGCTAGGATTACAGAACAAACAACACCAGCAAACCAAACAGACAAGTGACACCTGGCTGCAAAGAAGTGTGATGATATGAGTGAGTTCTCTGGGAATAGGATGGTGCCAGGAGGTAGCATGCCCACAGCCTGGGGGCCATCTGAGCATTGGACTTTAGGGGTCTGATGAAGAAAGTAAACCAAGATTTTATTCCTAGGGTGGAAAGTCCATGAGACTGTTGTTTTTTTACCTCGTACTCCATAGGCCTGTGTGAATCCACCATCTGCCTATACAAATAGTCTATGAAAACAACCCGTGAGTGCCACACTTAGAGAAAGATTAAGGAAAGCAAGATCATTTAAATTCTGTTGCAGTGTGGTGAAATGTCTTAAAATACAGAATGGAGGAAATGATCAGACCTTTCAGAGAAACCAAAATCTTCAACAGAAGAAAACTGAATGGAATTTCAAGGAAGTTTTAAACACATAGAAGGCACATTGGGGTTTTTTTGTGGCAAAAATTTTTATTTTCAGTGTTAAAATATAGTTCAGTGTGGTGACTGTCTAAACTTAAACTGGTCTGAAAGGGCCTGCCTCTCTTGTTAAGTTTATAAACTTTGCTTCCATTCATTACTAGATCTTTCTATCTGCTGATTTCAGGTAATTAAACTCATGTCCACAATTTAGGAAAAATATGATGCATCCAAGCACCAGTCAATGAAAATGGACTCAAAGGCTGGGAGCACACCTCAGTGGTACAGTCCTTGCCCAGCTGTGTGAAGCCATGGGTTTGATCCCCAGTACTACCAAAACAAAACATAAATTCAGAAATAGCACAAATGATAGCATAAATGTATTATATTCCATACAGTCAAAAAGGTAGAGAAAAGCATAGAAATAGTAAGGAAAACACGAATGATATAAAAAGATCAAAATAGAACTTCTAGAGAGTAAAAACTATGACAGTCCAGAATAGGGCTAAGAGAAGATTAGATAATGGACAAAAAGAGAAATTTAAAGATACAGCAATAGAAGTTATCAAAAATAAGACACTGAGAAAAAAAGACGGAAAAGAAAATGAACAGAGGACCAGCAAACTGTGGGACAAGTCAAACAGCCTAATATAGGCATAGTTGAAATTTCTTTGGAGCCAGGTATGATAAGGCATACATGAAGTCTCAGCTACTTAGGAGGCTGAGGCAGGAGGGTCACTCAAGCCCAGGAGTTGAGGGTCAGTCTGTGCAATATAGCTAGAAAAACAAAACAAAACAAAAGAAGTCTTTAGAAGAGGTGACAAAGAGAAACAACAGTAGCTTAAAATATTCCAAAGTTGATGGAACCTATATGTCTACAATCCAAGAAACTCCATGAACCCCCAGACAAAAGAAATATGAGGGAGCCAGGCATAGTGGCACACACCTGCAATTCCAACACTCTGGGAGGATGAGGCAGGAGGATCATAAGTTCAAGCCCAGCCTGGGTAGCTTAGTGACTTAGGGAGATTTTGTCATAGAATAGAATAGAGTAGAATAGAGGGCTGGGGATGTAGCTCTCTATTGAGGCTCTGGGTTCAATTCCCAGTACTGCAAAAACCAAAAAAGAGTGGGGGGAGAAAGAAAAAGAAAGAAACATCAAAGGAACTATACCAAGGCACAATGAATCAGATTCCTTACGAGAGAAAATCTTAAAAGCAGTTGGTGGGGAAAGCATTACACAGAGAGGAATAAACACAAAAATTACTGTTGACTTCCTGTTTGAAAAAATATACAGATCACACTGGAGGATTAGCTCTGCCATACAGTGTTTGCCCAACATGTGTGAGATCCTAGATTTGATTCCTACTGCCACAAAGGGGAAAAAAAACCCCACAACTCTTAAACAGTGAGGTAACATCTTCAAACTACCAAAGGAAAAAAACCCTGCTAAATAAATAGGAGAAGCTAGCTATGGTGGCTCATGCCAGTAATCACAGCACTCAGAAGGCTGAAGCAGAAGGAATGTTTTTGAGTTCAAGGCCAAGCTCCACAGAGAACTCAAGGTCACAAGAGTCTGTCTCAAAAAACAAAAGAAAACTAAAAAAGGGAGAATTATTATTATTATTTTTGCCCTTTGGTAAGCAAAGATGCTACACCAAAACATGATCCATAAAAGAAAAAAATTAAAGAACAGGACTTCATCAAAGTTAAAAATTTCTACTCTTTAAAGGATACTGTTGTCCCACTGTGGTGGCACATACCTGTAATCCCAGCACTTAGGAGGCTGAGGCAGGAGGATCGGTGCAAGTTTAAGGCCAGCCTGGGCTATATGATCAGACCTTGTCTCAAAATAAAAATACAAATAAATAAATAAGGAAGGATACTGTTAAGGGAGTGAAAAGACAAGCCATACATCGTAAGAAAATATAAATCACAAAGATGATAAAGGATTTGAATCTAGAACATAAAGAGATCTCCCAAAACTCAATAATCAGAAAATAACTGGGGGTAAGAGCAGGTGCATGGGTTGTAGCTCAGTGGTAGAGCAGTTGCTTAGCATTTTTTTAAAAATGGGCAAAAGAGGGAGAGGAGACAAAAGATTTAAACAGACACTCTGTCAAAGAAGACATACGGACAACAAACAAAAAAGATGTTCTCTATCATTAGTCATTAGGGACATGTGAGTTAAAACCACGAGATATCACTACATACTTATATGAGAACGAGAATCTCTACACTTGAAAAAATATTGGTCAGGATATGTAGAAACTATAATTTTCATACACTGCTGATGGCAACGTTAAGGGGCATAACTTTGGAAAATAGTTCGGCAGTGTCTCCAAGTTAAACATGGATTTCCCAGATGGCCTAGACTTTCACTCCTACATATCTATCCATGAGAAATCAAACGTGTCTACAAATGAACACTTACAAATGTGCAGTCCAGCTTTCGAGGGGAAATGCTTATCTACTTTATTTTTAATTGGCAAAATGTGTGTATTTATGATGTATACCATGACGTTTTGAAATATGTATGCGGTGGAATGTCTATTAATCACTAGCATTGGCATATCCTCATGTATTTCTTTCTGATGATGTGATATAATATGAAATACAGTTGTATAGTTGTTTTTTGGTATCTACAAAAGGTTAGTTCCAGAACCATCCCCACCCCAAGATACCAAAATATGTAGATGGTAGGGTATATATATGAGACAAGATTGCCTACATACACAGCATGGTAACTGAAGATCAGAATTTAACATAGGATTCTATTTTTGTTCATGTTTAAACATTTCCTCATAAAATGTGTACACAGCCTTCATTTAAAAATAAAGAAAATTTTGAAACCCTGGAATTAGTTTACATGTTTATCTAATGGAACACTATGGAACTCCTAAAAAGAACACAGTGGGCCTGTAGGTATTATGCCTTGGAAAGATAAGCCAGGTTAAGAAGAAAAGTTGGAAAATAACACACACACACATACACACACGCGCGCGCACAGTGTGATGGGAAAATATAACATGCTTACATTTAAAAAAATTAAAGTGAAAGATCGCCACTAATCCCCCTGAAAATTCTCCCCTTTCCTTCAGGTACACTCATTCTATGGGTTCCTGCTATGTTCTGAAACAGTTCTTTCTCCAAGTCCTTTTTTGTGTCCCTAATTGCGTGGTGGTGACTGTCTACCCGTCCTGAATTGATTCAAAATGTTTACCTTTCACGGTCATTTTGACTTTTAAAAGACAGTATTTGATTTAAAGCGTACCTATTTCTCACAAAGCATATGCGTCCTTTCATTAGGAATGTTAAAGATGAACAACTGCACTTTCTCAGAGGTTGCACATCCTGTGAACATTTGGGATGTTATCCTGCTCCTTGGAGGAGACTGGCTCAGTCCCCTTTTGGTTCCCAAATGACGTAAAAGTGAGATCTTTGGTTTTAGACATGTTTCCTCAGAAAGGCTGGAGCTATAGTTGAGGAAATCTGGCCGGTAGCTACATCTTTACTACTCAACAAAGAAAAACCTGCAGCCTCTAGCTGCCTCTAGCACCCCAAGCATTAACTTTAGGGAAACGAGGCCTTCAGGCAAGACAGAAAACGTAACGTGACTATGCCTGTTCGTAAGCCTGCAGGGCATTAGAGGATGGAGAAAGGTGAACTGAGCTACTCTCTGGCTCACTTTCCACCCTGGAATCCTCCGTGTCTGAGAGACCTAGAAACCGCAGCAGCCATTTTGCAGGGTGGGCTGCGCAGGCTTTCGGCGCGGAGCCAGCGCGCGACTGAGCCTGAGAGGACGTGGATAGGTTGGCCGGGGCGAACGCGCGAGACGAGGAAGAAGCAGGCATGCGCAAAGGCGACAGCGGCGGAGGGGTGGGCCCAGAGCACGAGTGCGCTTGCTCAAAGGGAGCCCGCGAAGCACCTGGAAGAGGTGAAGGGGGGCGATGTAGAAAGAAGAGGGGTTGAAGAGCGCTTGCGCTGTAGAGCGACGGTGCGGGAGGGGGGATCTGGAGCACGCGCGCTGAGGCCGGACTTGGGAAACTCTCGCGAGATTGCAGGATAGTATATATAAGCGCGAGGAGCCCGTGTCCTTTCCCTGGTGTGATTCCGTCCTGCGCGTCTGTTCTCTGGGGCAGTAGCTATTTGTTTCCGTCCGCGTTCTCATCCACCTAAGTGCGTGCCACCACTCCATGGAAGATTCGATGGATATGGACATGAGCCCCCTGAGGCCCCAGAACTATCTTTTCGGTAACTGCTTTGAGAGAGTGTTAGAACGAGGCCGAGCGGGCCTGGTGGCTGGGGGGCGGGAATCCAACTGAGGCTCGGGTCGGTGGAGAAAACTTAAGTGGGCTGGGGGAGGAGGGTGGGTCGGCCAGAGCGCTGGCTGCTGAGCGAATGGGACGTAGGAAGCGAGAACCGGCGCCCTGAAGCCTGGGGCGTGAGCGGTTCAAGGCCTAGAATCTGAGGTGGAAAACCGGCTGGCTGATGGGTCGCCTTTTTCTGGGGTAGGAGAGAGATTCCACGCCATGCGCTTTCTTTTAGGTGTGTAAGACTGTAGGGTTCGGATGCAAATCGGTGTCTTTACTGCTGGGCCGCAGATGAGATTAGGAGGTTGCTGTAGGGAGGGGATAGAGGGAGCCTGGCCTTGTTCTGTAGAGTAAAGTGTATAGAACTTGGGGACAGAATTTTCCCGTGGGTGCCTCGGCTACTTGCAGGGGGAGGGGAAACGCTGCTGGGCGTGAGGAGGCCGTTGCCGCTGGGAGCACGTGGTTGCCACGTGGTTGGGGGAGGGCGGGGGTGTGGGCTCCGAGTACATCCGGGACTCGCCGGTGTCTTGTCACTGAGCCCGGGGTCCTGTGGTTTAGTTGAGAACTGTTGGGGGAGAAATCTTCGGTGAGTTGGATAATAGTGCCAGTATTCTCAAAGTCTTTGTTCGGTGCTTGGAACATCTGCTATGATGGTAGGTCGCATGTTCAGAGCACTTTCTCTGTCTCATTGCTGTAGATGGAAATTGCTTTACGTTGCCCATGACACTACCTGTGAGATACCTTAACAAATGTTGCCGAAAGTGCAAAAAGATGTGAGCCAAGACCCTTGGGTTCAAAAGGCCCTTTAAGTACAAGTGAAGTTTTGTATTTTGGGAGAAGAAAATGGAGGCTGCCTTGAGTGTAGCTTGGACCACAGGGTTTAAGGAGAAAAATGGCTGCAGGTTGAGTTGAATACTTGGGACTGTAAACTTTGAAGAACCAGGGCTTTTCTGCGACCACCTCCCCCTCCGAGGGACCTCTACCGCATGCTCAAAGTGCACTACATACAGTTTTTAGAAGAGCCCTACTTTGGTTTTCAGTCTCCGTATATTTGTTAGTTTCTTTGTGCTTGACAGGGACGTGCAAATCCTGTCCAGGTTTCATATGGTTGATTAGCCATGCTGAGATTTGTTAATTGAGCAATAAGCATTTGAGTATAGTATATACCACTGGTAAGGTGCTTATTAAATGGAACCCTCTCAAGTCAAATTTTTGTGCTGATAACCTTTAGAATAATTTTTCATTCATAGAATGGAAGTAGATCAATGCAATCTCCATTAAGCTTGTTGTTAACCCACTTTCAGTAGTTAAAATATCTGAACAATTGCAGAACGTGTTAACCTGTGTTGGAAGCTCTTGCGTTAGTTGCCACTAAAGGAATGAGCATGTTTCCAACTGTAGAATGGTACTAGTTAACCTGTCTCATTGTAGTTGAGACTGAAATAGTATGACAAAGTGATATTTATAATTTTTCTTTGTGGGTATCGTCCTGTGTACCCACGTATAAGAATCTGGGAAGATGACTCTGCATTGCCCTCTGGTAGCCAGAGTAATGAAAAACAGGTTCACGAGGTAACCTTTACCTCTTTAGTTACTAACTCTTAAGCCTTGCTGATATTTTTGTTTTACAATTTATTTGCTTTTTCTTTACAGGTTGTGAACTAAAGGCCGACAAAGATTATCACTTTAAGGTGGATAATGATGAAAATGAGCACCAGTTGTCATTAAGAACGGTATTTAAGCTTTCAAAATAAACTACTTAATATTTGAGTCTCAGCCTTTTAGTTCTTACTCATACGGGTTAATACTTTTTGCTTTCTTGACTGTTTATAAGTTAGTATTTTTTGAACTAGGTATTGAATATACCTCATCTCTACATCTGTCATAGATGTTGGCTTTTGTTGTTCACAGGTCAGTTTAGGGGCTGGTGCAAAGGATGAATTGCACATTGTGGAAGCAGAGGCAATGAATTACGAAGGCAGTCCAATTAAAGTAACACTAGCAACTTTGAAAATGTCTGTACAGCCAACGGTAAGGACAAGTGAACTTTGAATTTTATGTGAGAGTTTAGATCTTTTTAAAGATGGGCATCATTTAGGCTACATCAAAATAAAAGAAGTATTTTATTTGTTTCTTTGTTCCAGTAACAGCTGTGTCTTGTGTCACTGTACAGTTGAATCCTCAACTCTTAAATATTGTATGTGTCTGATGTTTCTGCATCGGTGGGAAAAATAAGTTTATTTGATTTGATTATATGGGGTTTGCCTATAATGTGTGTTGCATGTTTTCTTTACAGTGTTTGTAATTTCTTCCTTTCAGGTTTCCCTTGGGGGCTTTGAAATTACACCACCCGTGGTCTTAAGGTTGAAATGTGGTTCAGGGCCTGTGCATATTAGTGGACAGCACTTAGTGGGTATGTTATTTCTATATGCCATATTGAGCTGTTTTTTCTCCTTACTGACATTTTTTCCCAATTTGGACCTGGAAAACATGGCTGAAGTCTAGTATTGCTCTCTACGATAGGTTCAGTTGGTAATCTAGTAATTGCATCAGTGAAGGGCTGGTTTTACCATTGAAGTTTAACAATGAGAATTGGCTCCAAAGAGCTGGTATCAACAAATTTTATCCCCTTTTGACTATTGTTTTTAATAGAATCTATTTTTTTTTTAGTACTTAATGCTGTGTATTTTTTCTCTGGTTTCTTGCTTGTTGGAGTTTCATAGTGTCTTAATTTATTTTAGCTGTGGAGGAAGATGCAGAATCTGATGAGGAGGAGGAAGAGGATGTAAAACTCTTAAGTATATCTGGAAAGCGATCTGCCCCTGGAAGTGGTAGCAAGGTTCCACAGGTAGAGATGATTTTACTGCAGAGTATGTATTGTATCTTTTAGTTTGGTTACAAGGATTGGATCTTCTTATTCATGACTATACATTTTTCTTTAAGAAAAAAGCAAAACTAGCGGCTGAAGATGATGACGACGACGACGACGATGATGATGATGAAGAGTAAGTACTATACTCTTAAACTCGACATGCTTATGTATGTGTAAGAATTTTTGGAAAGTCATTTACTGAGTCCTCTAAAGGGTAAGTTCCTGGTAGTTGATTTTAGGTTAAATGAGTTTAGCTGAAAGTATGCTGGGAGTAGTATCAGTTGCGAATATGCTGCTGTACAAGTTGAATCTTTAGAAGAGTAGAGTGCATAGGCAGCATTTTGCAAATTTATTTGAATTGAATACCTTTATCCTGATAAATATTTTTGGCTACTTACGTGCATTTTGTAAGATAACTAAAGATTTTGACTTGCGGTTCTTTGACTCCTTGTTGACAAAATGAGATTCTAAAAGGATGTTGAACTTGCTGATTTAAAACATGGTTTAAATTGAGTTGGTGTGTTCATTGCACTAGATCAAGCTGTGGTAATAAATTGTTTCACATTGGAATAAAGTTCTGTTAATTGGTCTCACAGCGATATCAGTAACTCCTAATATCTTCAACTCTCCGCTTTATCCCTAAGAATTTACAATTTTGTTATTCTTGGTCTCATCTGAGTTGTCTTTGAGTTAGGTGTAATATAGGGAAAAATATAAATCAGATCATTCTAAAGTCCAAACCAAGATTTTAAAAAGACACCTTTAGAGTACCTTAGTTTGTGTAAGAAGACATTCCTGAGAGTATATTTCCTTGGTAGGCAATGTATGATTATACTGACATGGCGTTCTTAAATGTTCCTTTTTAAAATTTGATAAGGCGTATCCTAATAGATGAAGCTGTTCGCCCATAGTGGTTTTATAGAAACCATTGTCCTCCTTTCTAATCTAAGGACAGCCCCTGTAGGGACTGGGTTCTAAGGCCAATGTTTTACATTGACAAAATGCAGTTACAAATTAACATACAGTATTTATATGTGGTTTAATGCACTATGATACTTGTTCTAACACAAGGATTTCCTTAAATACTGGGAAGATGGGATTTTACTACGGAAGTTGTTTTGGCTTTTGGATTTTTATTTCCTCTTAGTTATTTACTTGTTTAAAGTGTACCATTCGTTGGTTTTATTTAGTAGGTTCAGTTTTGTAGCTATTAACACATCTTGACTATTTCTTCACCTCAGAAATAGACTATAGATTTGCTTATTTTAGAGACTTGACATAAAGGGAATCATAGTATGGTCTTTGCTGCCTCCAGTCTGAGGATTTGTAGACAAGTTTTCTTTGTGAGTACATAACTGGAGCAGAATTGCTATGGTAACTCTAGGTTCCACTTAGGAACTTGCCAAGCTTGTTCTCCAAAAGTTCCTGAACCATTTCATTGTACTTGGACCAGTGTGAATGGGGATTCTGATTTGTCCATATCTTAAATGTTTGCTATTATTTTTGTGTGACAGCATTTCTACTGGTGTGGAGTACTATCTGATTGTGGGTATGATTTTCTGTTTCCCTGATGGCATAATTCTTGGTGTGTTTTTACTGGGGATTGAACTCAGAACCTCCTGTGTGCTTAGCCCTGAGCTGTTTGCTCAGCTCCCTGATGACTTAAGGATGGCCAACTTTTCATAGATTTATTAGATATTTGTGTGTCTTCAAAGAAACGCTTGTCACATCCTCTCCCCATTTAAAGTTTGGATACTTGTGCTTGTGAGTTATAAGAATTTCCTGTTGTAACAGGTATATTAAATATTTGATTAAGGGAGTATTTTGTCCATTCTGTGAGTTGCCTATACTCTTGATGGTGGCCATCGCACAAAGTTAATTTTCGTGAAATCCACTTTGGTGTTTGTACATGTGGTGTCAAACTTAAGACACCGTGGTCAGGTCTACTAATTTGCTATTGACAGGTTCTTAAAGTTTTCCAGGTTTTGGCAATGGCAGCTATACTTTTTGAGTTGTTACTTTAGATGCCTTAAAAACAACCATAGTTTTCATCCTGTAGTTGACTGGTATATTTCACATCATAATATGAAAGTTCATTCATGTTGCAACAGATAGTAGGATTTAAGGCTGAATACATTCCATTATGTGTTACATACATTTTTCTTCTAACTATTGAGCCATTTGGGCTCTCACCTCTTGAATATTGTGAACAGTGTTGCAGTGAAAACGAGTGGTCAGCTCTCTTATGTCCTGCCTTTACTTTTGTCAAGTCTCAAAATTTGAAAATTTCTGTTTCTTTCATTTCCAGTGATGACGACGATGATTTTGATGATGAGGAAGCCGAAGAGAAAGCAACAGTGAAGAAAGTGAGTAAATAAAATACTAATAAGCTTATGAAAAACAGTAAATAACAAGTGATGGAAGTTTTTGTTCTTTTTGCTTTCACTTGTTTTGAAGCTAATAAAACCTTGCTTGAGGATATACTGAGAATTGGTTCTGAGGACTTTGCTGAGAACATTTAGTTTGGAATGAATTTTTTTTTTGCCATGATTTGGGGAAACATTTGAACTGGGGGACACTGATTGATTTCTGATTGCAGTCAATACGAGATACTCCAGCCAAAAATGCACAAAAGTCAAACCAGAATGGAAAAGACTCCAAACCATCAACACCAAGATCAAAAGTAAGTGGCAGCATACACATTAAAAATGGGACTTCATTGAAATAGGAGAATAACTGGAAATTCTAATGTGGAAGAATCTACACTGCAAAGTGCTCTCAAATGCCTATCTTAAAAGTTTAAAATGTGCTTGTTGATAATGTGGGTATGCATAAACAGTATATATTAGGCTGCTGACATTCCAGTAGGAAAAAAACCAATTTTTTGTTACAAAAATAGTTGTTTCCACTGAGGAAACTTGACTGTCTGCAGGGAGCAGATTCTCGACCCTGGCTGTGTACAGGTATGGAGCTTAAGAGAACCTGTACTTACACACTTTACCTGCGGAGATTTACCATGTGCTCTTGCATGGATGTCATGCTCAAGCAGCCTTGCTTCATTCTAGCAGTCCTTTATTTTTGAACTAATTACAAGTAATTTGTTTTTTAAAATGATTGTATGGACCAAATAATCGGCATGAATGGATTTATTAATAATAGCATCTGTTGTCATATACTTGCTTTTATAAAGGAGGATTTTAAGAATAATTTGGCATATCAAGGTAAGATAGTTTTAATTAAGAGCTATATTCTTACAACCCTTTGAAATTGGAACTTTTTCTGCAGGGTCAAGAATCCTTCAAAAAACAAGAAAAGACTCCTAAAACACCCAAAGGACCTAGTTCTGTAGAAGATATTAAAGCAAAAATGCAAGCAAGTATAGAAAAGGTAAGAAAGGTTATCTTTAAGAAAATAGCTCTCTGGGCCAGGATTTAGCTCAATGGTTCTGCCACCTGCCTTGCAAGTGCAAGGTCCTGAATTCGATCCCTGGTACCAAAAAAAAAAAGAAAACAGCACTCTTCCATTTCTGCTAAATTCCACCTTTATGTGGCTTTGTATAAATTACTTTGTTTTTAAAATTACTTCCTTGTTCTGGTATGTGAACTTTTAAAAAATTGCTTATAAATGTGCCGGAGATTTAGCTCAGTGGTTCCAGCGCCTGCCTCACAAGCGCAAGGATCTGAGTTTGAGCCCCGGTACCCAAAAAAAAATTTGGGGGGGTCCTGGGGATTTAGCTTAATGGTTCCGCTATCTGCCCCACAAGCGCAAGGACCCAAGTTTGATCCCCAGTACCAAAAACAAAAAAAAATGTAGCTTATAAATCTTAACTGCAGAAATAGGCATACTTACAGTCTTGTTTTGCATGTGAAATTAAATAGGCATTCCGTTAAAAAGCATACTTGTACATTATTTTAAAAATATATTGATACATACTGATCTGAAAAAAATCAAAATGATATCAATGAAAAAATTTTCTGGGGCCGGGGATTTAGCTCAGTGTTTCCGGTGCCTGCCTTGCAAGTGCAAGGTCCTGAGTTTGATCCCCAGTACCCAAAAAAAAAAAATTTGTTTTCTGGTTATGTTAGGCTTCTTCAGAACCAGCAGAGGGTGTACAAGTCTTCAATAAAATTGCAAGCAATTGGAAAACTAGACACTTAATCTTCAGCTGCTTGGTGATACAGTTAAAAAATACTCATGATTGATTAAACATTTTCCTGGAAATTGAATCATTTCTGTTGGCCTTTACATCAGGGCATCCCCAATCAATACGTGGAATTAAGCTTATATCTAGTCTCTTTTTTAAGTAGTGAAAACACGTAAGAAGGGGATTAGATGTCTTTTTCTTGCTACTTAGACTGCTAAAACTCACTAAACTCTGGACTTAATGTAGAGGAAAGAATTGACTTAAATGTCTTGGAATCACATTTGAGAGACTCTTAATGTGCTATGAATATTTCTAGAACCCAGTTAATGAGAATAAATGTAATGTTGAGGAAAATGTGCCAACTCCTTTCCCCATGTTTTTCCTGTGTGAACTCCATGAAGATTTCTTTGTGGAGTAATGAGTGGATTGGAAAATAAACATTGTAGTAACAATGTATTTCTTTTGCTTTAGTCACACTGTAAACCTTTTAGCCTTCCAGGTGTTACTGATTTATTTTTATCCCTTACATGCAGTGCTAAAATGATGCCCCCTCGTTTTAATATGGTCCTATTTCCTTGATTTAATTGCAGGCGCATTGAACAGTCCTGGGCACTACTGATAAATTTAAGCCCAAAGATGGGGAGAAAGGAAAAGGAGAGACAAATAATAGTCCATTCTGAGTA